GGGGACATTTGGGGTCTCCCCGGGGCCACCAGCTCCTGCCACCTCTTGGGGGACCCTTTTGGGGACCCCCTTGGGGACATTTGGGGTCTCCCCGGGGACATTTGGGGTCTCCCCGGGGCCACCAGCTCCTGCCACCTCTTGGGGGATGTTTCCTGGGGTCTCCTCGGGGCCACTTTTGGGGACCCCTGGGGTCTCCTTGGGGACCCCCTCGGTGCCACCTCCGGGCGTTTCCTTGGGGACGTTTCCTGGGGTCTCCTCGGGGACATTTTGGGGGACCTGGGGGACCCTTTGGGGGACATTTGGGAGCATCTCCTCGGGGACCCCTTTGGGGACCTCTTGGGACTCTTCTCGGGGGACATTTGGGGACACTTTTTGGGGTCCCCATCCGGGCAGGGACCCCGGGAGGAGATGGGGCAGCTCCTTGGGGACATCTGGGGACACCTCTCTGGGGACCCCCCCTCTGGGGACCCCTTTGGGGACCCCCTTGGGGACATCTGGTGGCACTTCCCTGGTGCCCCCCCCCTTGGGGACATCCCTGGGGACCCTTTTGGGGCCATCCCTGGTGTCCCCCCCTCTGGTGACCCTTTTGGGGACCCCCCGGTGTCCCCCCTTGGGGTGGTGGCCTCGGGGTTGTCCCCAAGGGTGTCCCCAAGCTCCAAGGCCACCCCCTGGGGACCTTCTGTTGGTGCCACCACCGAGGGTGACACGACCTTGGGGACGGTGACACCCGGGAAGGGGGACCCTGGGGGGTGTCCCCAAGGAACCCCCAGGGGAAACCCCCCCCTCGGGGACATCCCTGGGGACATCCCAGGTGCCACCACCTCTGTCCAAGGTGCCCAGTGTGACAAAGGGGACATTTCTGGTGTCCCCAAGGGCGTCCCTTGTCCCCCAGGTGCCACCTCTGGTGTCAACAGGGACGTCCCTTGTCCCCCAGGTGCCACCTCTGGTGTCAACAGGGACGTCCCTTGTCCCCCAGGTGCCACCTCTGGTGTCAACAGGGACGTCCCTTGTCCCCCAGGTGCCACCTCTGGTGTCAACAGGGACGTCCCTTGTCCCCCAGGTGCCACCTCTGGTGTCAACAGGGACGTCCCTTGTCCCCCAGGTGCCACCTCTGGTGTCAACAGGGACGTCCCTTGTCCCCCAGGTGCCACCTCTGGTGTCAACAGGGACGTCCCTTGTCCCCCAGGTGCCACCTCTGGTGTCAACAGGGACGTCCCTTGTCCCCCAGGTGCCACCTCTGGTGTCAACAGGGACGTCCCTTGTCCCCCAGGTGCCACCACATTTGGGGTCTCCCCGGGGCCACCAGCTCCTGCCACCTCTTGGGGGACGTTTCCTGGGGTCTCCTCGGGGCCACTTTTGGGGACCCCTGGGGTCTCCTTGGGGACCCCCTCGGTGCCACCTCCGGGCGTTTCCTTGGGGACGTTTCCTGGGGTCTCCTCGGGGACATTTTGGGGGACCTGGGGGACCCTTTGGGGGACATTTGGGAGCATCTCCTCGGGGACCCCTTTGGGGACCTCTTGGGACTCTTCTCGGGGGACATTTGGGGACACTTTTTGGGGTCCCCATCCGGGCAGGGACCCCGGGAGGAGATGGGGCAGCTCCTTGGGGACATCTGGGGACACCTCTCTGGGGACCCCCCCTCTGGGGACCCCTTTGGGGACCCCCTTGGGGACATCTGGTGGCACTTCCCTGGTGCCCCCCCCCTTGGGGACATCCCTTGGGACCTTTTTGGGGCCATCCCTGGTGTCCCCCCCTCTGGTGACCCTTTTGGGGACCCCCCGGTGTCCCCCCTTGGGGTGGTGGCCTCGGGGTTGTCCCCAAGGGTGTCCCCAAGCTCCAAGGCCACCCCCTGGGGACCTTCTGTTGGTGCCACCACCGAGGGTGACACGACCTTGGGGACGGTGACACCCGGGAAGGGGGACCCTGGGGGGTGTCCCCAAGGAACCCCCAGGGGAAACCCCCCCCTCGGGGACATCCCTGGGGACATCCCAGGTGCCACCACCTCTGTCCAAGGTGCCCAGTGTGACAAAGGGGACATTTCTGGTGTCCCCAAGGGCGTCCCTTGTCCCCCAGGTGCCACCTCTGGTGTCAACAGGGACGTCCCTTGTCCCCCAGGTGCCACCTCTGGTGTCCCCAGGGACGTCCCTTGTCCCCCAGGTGCCACCTCTGGTGTCAACAGGGACGTCCCTTGTCCCCCAGGTGCCACCTCTGGTGTCAACAGGGACGTCCCTTGTTCCCCAGGTGCCACCTCTGGTGTCCCCAGGGACGTCCCTTGTCCCCCAGGTGCCACCTCTTGGGCAGGTGCCACCTCTGGTGTCCCTGGTGCCACCCCCACTGGTGTCCCTTGTCCCTTGTCCCCCCTCTCTGGTGCCAGGGGGGACATTTCCAGCGCCCACGGGGTTGTCCCTTGTCCCCTGGGTGACACCTCTGGCCGTGGTGACATCACTTGTCCCCAAGGAGATGTCCCTCCTGTCCCAGGTGTCACTTCTGGGGTCACCCCTTGTCCCCAAGGGGCCACCTGGGGGGCTGAAGGGCTCATCCCTTGTCCCCCAGGTGCCACCTCTGGTGTCCCCAGGGACGTCCCTTGTCCCCCAGGTGCCACCTCTTGTCTTGGTGGCCTCTCTGGTGGCACTGGTGGCCTCTCCTGTCCCCACAGGCTCAGCTCCAGTCCCAGAGGGGACATCCCTTGTGTCACTGGTGGCTTCTCTTGTCCCCACGAGGCCACCTCTGCTGCCAAAGGGGACGTCCCTTGTCCCCCAGGTGCCACCTCTTCTCTCAGTGGCCTCTCTTGTCCCCAAGGTGCCACCTCCACTCCCAAAGGGGACATCCCAGGTGCCACCTCTTCTCTCTGTGGCCTCTCTTGTCCCCAAGGTGCCACCTCCACTCCCAAAGGGGACATCCCAGGTGCCACCTCTTCTCTCTGTGGCCTCTCTTGTCCCCAAGGTGCCACCTCCAGGGCCAAAGGGGATGTCCCAGGTGCCACCTCTTGTCTTGGTTGTCCCCAGGGTGCCACCTCTTGTCTTGGTGGCCCCTCTTGTCCCCAAGGTGCCACCTCCAGTGCC